TCCTGCTACTTCCTTATTTCCCTAGGGACGGTCATCCAGAAAGGTTGTAGACTCACACACTTTGTCTGTGATGTGAATGACTAAGTGTCATGCTGGCTCCTTTCATGTCTCCTATGGGAAAAGATGAGAGAAATAGGGTGTAGACTTTCCAATTTCCCGGGGGGGGGGGGGGCGGGGGCTGGGCCAGAGGCATTGCTTTGCTAGGAGCAAGGGTGGCTCCCGGGGGAGGCTGAGCACCTTCCTGAAAATTTCGGCGGGGGCTGAAGCCCCACCGCCCCCACGAAGATTACGCCTTCGCTCTGTATTGATCATTATTCCTGTGCAGCTGAGAAGAATGGGGAAAGCTTTGGCGCCACATGCGTGCAGGCCTTGCTTCCTGAAAGTCAGCAACTGACACCTCTAACGGAGGCACGTTTCTGCTTCATCTGATGTTATGTTATGTACAGAGGCAGTAGCCTCTGTCTTGTACAATGTGGAGATATTGCAGCGTGTGATTGCACTTCAGTGTATGAGTACACATTACAGACACAAAGCAACTTTTGGGTTAGGGGCAAACTGAAGAATACAGAGAGGCTTTTGTTAAGAACTGGGCAGCTTTAACTGTCTCCTTTCATTGGCAGGTTGACATCAGGGCCCTGCGCGACGTCTTACAGTTCCGCAGGGCGTGCAAAATGGAGCTCTTCCACCAGGCCTTCGATTAGTAGCCGCTAACAAGTTATTTATTTATTTATTTATTATCAAATTTATACCCCATCCTCCCTGCAAGCAGGCTCAGGGCGGCTTCCATAAAAGCATAAATACATTAAAATTACACAATATTTAACCATACAATAAAAACATTATAAATACAAAGTGCTGGAGGCTGTTAAACTAACCTAGACGGTATATTGCTAGAGTAAATTTCCACTGCCCAGATGTTTCTGCTCATAATCAGTTAGATGTTAAAACCACAGACCAAGCTCTTAGGGGCCTGCAGTAACGGCCTGCAGTAATTCAATAATACCTGAACTGGGGTAAGGCCCTCTATACCAACAGCAACAGTCTGTGATGTCATTGTTATCGCCACTAGCACTTTAACTGCACTTATTTGTTATTTGTCATTTGTCATGTATATGAGTTTTTATGAAGTGCATTAAGAACATAAGAGAAGCCAGTGTTGGATCAGGCCAATAGCCCATCCAGTTCAACACTCTGTCACACAGTGGCCAAAAATACCAGGTGCCATCAGGAGGTCCAGCAGTGGGGCCAGGACACTAGGAGCCTTCACACTATTGACCCCCCCCCCAAGCACCAAGAATACAGAGCATCACTTGCCCCGGAGTCCCTGTACAGACCTTGTGGCTAATAGCCACTGATGGACCTCTGCTCCATATGCTTATCTAATTCCCTCTTGAAGCCGTCCATGCTTGTAGCCGCCACCACCTCCTGTGGCAGTGAATTCCATGTGTTAATCACTCTTTGGGTGAAGAAGTACTTCCTTTTATCTGTTCTAACCCAACCGCTGAGCAATTTCATGGAGTGCCCACGAGTTCTTGTATTGTGAGAAAGGGAGAAAAGTACCTCTTTCTCTACCTGCTCTATCCCATGCATAATCTTATAAACCTCAAAAGGCACAGCACCACCCCCTCACCATCTTTTCGGTGCTGAGCAACTTGGCCCAACCTCCTGGCCCTTTAGTATGGCATTGTTTGAAGGGGTTTGCATGTGGGCTTGGTTCATTAATTTTCCTTGTCACAACTTGGCAGTATCAGCATGAGGCCGGTTCCATTTTCAGGAAAGCCGGCCTGCGTGCCCATTTTCCTGAGTTGGGGATCCAAGTTGCTCAGCGCCGAAAAGATGGCGAGAAGGGCGGTGCTGTGCCTTTTGTAACAGCCAATTCATCCCCACCCCCCCAACACCCAAGACCCTCTGATAGGGCCAGCGCTGGGTCAGGTGGGTGCAAGTTTCCCACGCTTGCTGCTGGCCCACCCCCTCTGCCCAGTGAGGATTGCCTCTCTGCCCTTCCCTCCCCCCTCCCCGTGGTGCGGCAAACAGGGTCCCGGGTGATTTCAGGGTCCTGGCTTCCTGGATCTCTTCTGGAACCCTGTTTAAAGATAGGAGTGACATTAGCTACCTTCCAGTCCTCAGGAATGGAAGCAGATTTTAATGAAAAATGACATATTTTTGTCAGGAGATCCACAAGTTCACATCTGAGTTCTTTCAGAACTCTCAGATGTATGTCATTCGGGCCTGGTGATTTATCAGTTTTTAAGTTGTCTATCAGTCATAGGACCTTCTTTCTCGTCACCTCAATCTGACTCAGGTCTTTCAACACCCCTTCCAGAGTCAGCGGTTCTGGAGTGGGCAACTAATTGTGTTTAATGAATTTGTGTTTTAATGTATTTTAATTTTTTTAATGTAAGCCGCCCTGAGCCTGCCTTGGCAGGGAGGGCTGGATTCAAATTGAGTTAAATAAATAAATAAATAATGTACATTTCATTGATTTTAATGGAGTTGGGTTGCTCTCGAAGTTACCAGTACAAGGACTCCATTCCTGAAGTGGCCCTATAAGTTACTAAGCAATCTATATTTCAAAATACATCAAGGGTTGTGATAGTGATCTGCCACCATCCCATCCCAGATGTGAAATTCGTCTAGGCTTCAATGGTAAGTATCTGGTTTAAACCCTTGTAAATCAAAGGAAGTCAGATTTTATTAGTTAGTAAAACCCCACTTCAAGCAAACTGTGCATTATTTCTTGGCAAGGTTGTAGTTGGCTGCTTGCACAGAGCTGCTGCATCTAAAATTTCTCTCTTGTTTTCAAAGAAACCGTATAACAATTATTATCTCAAAATAAGTGATTACTCCAGGTGTTTTCCAACTTAAATGGACTGTGGTGTGTGGCTGCTTTTGAAACTAGGAACCATCTCACTGTAATATGTTTGTATGTTTAAAAGCATTTAAGTTCTGTGTTAACTTTTTTTTTGTTTTAATCTTAGGAAATTCAACAAAGGCATGGCCTGGCCAACTCCATTTCCTCATACTTAATCAAACCTGTCCAAAGAATAACCAAGTACCAGCTTTTATTGAAGGTATATAAATAACTTATTTTTTCATCAAAAACAATTTATTAGGAAATAATTTTAAAAAGTTCAAACATATATCAAAACTTATACAATTATATATCCTTCCCTCCTCCCTTCCCCCCCCTTCTCGGCTTCCCACAGTGCTCCAACCTCCAGCCCAATTCTTAAATTTTCTCCATACCTCCCATTCCCCTTACCCACATCCACAGGTAACTTATCCTTCAGCTGTTATTCTTATACATTTATCTATTTTCTACTGTCCTTTAATTTTCAATAGTTCTCAAAGCAAAGTAAATTGTCTTTTACATCCCAGTATTTCTCCAAATAGTCTTTAAAGTCTTTCCAGTCTACAAAATTTTATTTATTTATTTATTTACATTCAGCTTATATCCCGCTCGAACCCCTCCCACGGGGTCTCTGAGCAGCTTACATAGTTTAGTATCCCTAACTATGGGCACATACATCATTGGGGTGGGATTGCCTACCAGCACCCAGTGGGGTTCAGTTAGTATTTCCTCAGCTTGTCTCGGCTTGGCTCCCGGCTTCAGCTCGGCCCTCCCATCTACTCTTTCTTTAGACTTCTCGGTGGTCTTCTGGAGTCGACGGGCCATTCGTCGCGCCCGTCTTCTGCTTCCAAATTATTAAGTTTCCTTGTCATTTTATCCATTTCAACCTAGGTATATAAATAATAATGTCCCTTTACTACGTTGGATGGGAAGATTAACTGGCAGGGATGTGAATCCCAGATGAGCTCAGCTGGGGTACCCAGTCTTGGATTGATTGACACGGTACTTTCTTAAGCTCAAGACACTGGGAAACCCATGACTGGGTCTTCCTAGCATGTTCAATATACTAATAGAAACCATGTGTGTGCCTCATTTGGATTGGAGTTGCATGGGGGGGAAACGGGAAAGAAACCTACTGAGCAATCTCACTGACATTCCCTCCGCATGCTGCTTTTAGTCCTCGAAGGAAAATCGATGGCTTCCCACCTCTCCTTCCTTCTGGGCAACATGTGGACAGTGATTTCAAGATGTGCAACTGTGTAGGGATGGAAGTATTAAAGTTCCAATGAGTCTGTGCATGTTTGAAACTTACATTTAAATAACACAGAGGTCTTCCTTATACCCACTCTCCATTTGTCAAACCACTTCCCTCTCTTCTGTCAAACCCTGTCCTTAAAACTAACTTCTTTAGCAAAATGTGTTAGGTCACTGGACACGTACACTATGGGACAAAATGTGACATCAGAAAACATCCTTGCTTGAAAGTAAGTGTGAGACTTTTCCTTCCCTGGGCACTGTATAATCTACAGCAAGTCTTTATAAGGTCAGTTTCCTTTAGAAGAGAGCAAGCAGTGGAGAGTTCTGGTGTCTTTTTAATACCCTGTTTATAAATCTACAGGTCGAGCAGGCTTCCGCAAAGGCAGGAATATAAGCAGGCAATAGTAGTATCAAAAACGATGTCAGCACCTTAGAATCCTCAGACCGGTTTCTCCTCTCCAGGTTTTATTGAATGCATAATGAATCATGATTTTTTGAGCCTCCACCTTTGTGGATGATTCACATTTCACATACTTGGAAACAACTCATTACAATACCTGTGCCTTCCGGTGAATACAAAATCTGTGGGACAATTCATATTTGCAACATCTCCTGAGAAAGGAATTGTCCATTTTCAGCATAGGAAATGCACAGATATTGAATGTCTTACACATATATGTTTGCATAGAAATATTCACACTCCGTACATTAACTATCCCATCTCCACTGCCCATTACATACACAGAGCTATCTAAGAGGCAGCTGATGAATTCTTTGCTTGTTAACAGGGTGGGGCAGGCATCTGGTTGGTTCACAGGGGAAATCTGGCTGGAGCATTGTACTGATATGAGTAGTTGCCCAATTGAATGCGACATTCAGGAAAGCTTTCTGTACAATATCAACATTGTTTACATCTGCCTTGACACTCCTTTCTCGAGAACCTTGTTCCTTGGCGATATGTTCCATTTAGCTGCAGCCAAAAGGAGGCAACCTATCTGGAGCTTAGATTTGTTTGTTTTTTTTTGTTTCTCCACAGGAGCTTTTAACATGCTGTGAAGAAGGGAAAGGAGAGCTTAAGGATGGTTTGGAAGTGATGCTCAGTGTCCCTAAGAAAGCCAATGATGCCATGCATGTCAGCATGCTGGAAGGTAAGCAGGTGCTGGCACCTTGGAGGAGAATGCTGTCGCATGCACAAAGACATTACTACGAGGTGAAAAGGGCTGAGGAACCTTTGTGTGTTTTGAGCGAGGGGCCTGTAGACAGAGGACAGCTTTTTACAGATGCTTGTCTTTATTGAGTCAATATTAAGATTTTGTGTCCTCACTCGCAACAGTCATCGGGGCTATCCAAGATGTTTTTCCAAGAAGATATTTTGCTCGCACTTGGCTCCATTTTAACTATCACTGCCGTGCCACAACTTTGCCAGCCTTTTATGTATGACATGGAAGGTCCCACTAATTTAGCACAACGATTTTGTACAAGTGTACCTCCCTGGTATTAATATTAAAGCATTCCTTTCTTGCCTCAAATTTCTGAGACCTCTCAAAGATAAACTGGTGTCAGGACGCAGTGTTCCCTCTAAGCTGGGTTAGTGTGAGCTAGCTCACAGTCTTTTAGCCTCGGGCTCACACATTTTTGTCTTAGTTCAGGAAGGAGGGCTCCAGAACAAACTAATTCATGCAGAAGCTGAATTACTCACTCACAACTTTAATGCCAGGAGCTCCCAAAGTAGAAATTTTGCTCACAAGACTCCACAGCTTAGAGGGAACATTGGTCAGGAGTGAAAAGAGAGGTGAAGGAACAAAGGATGGGAAAACAGCCTGATCTGGCAAGGAGGTCATGGACAGCCTTGAAGTTAGAAAAAAATTCATGTCATTTACATGATACTTATTTTGGGTGATTCTCAAGAGAACAAAATTCAGTTCTTAATTTTGGACTATCAGCATCTGAAACAAATTGTTTGAGGTGAAGTTTCTTCATTTGATTTGGTTTGTTTTATTTGTAGGGTTTGATGAAAACTTGGATGTTCAGGGTGAACTAATCCTTCAGGATTCCTTCCAAGTGTGGGATCCCAAGTCTCTTATCCGGAAGGGTCGTGAAAGGCACTTATTTCTCTTCGAAATCTCTCTTGTCTTTAGCAAAGAGATCAAAGATTCTGCAGGACACACGAAATATGTTTACAAGAACAAACTACTGGTACGTCTGCTTTGTGGGTCTCAGAGTTTTTAAAAAATACAAACAGGAGATAAAGGTGTGCTAAATTTGAAAGGTGTGATCAATCTAGTCCCCATCGGGACTGGGTTTATCCCACTTTACCAAAAATCAAAGTACAAATAATATCTGAAAAAGTTAATGTGACTCATTGTGGCTAAATGCATTGCATAAAGGTGAAATGTGACATCCGGACGTGAGCTCTTTCCTACCTAAAATAATTAAGATATAATTTCTAATAATCTCTTCTTCTTGACAGACCTCAGAACTGGGAGTGACAGAGCATGTGGAAGGAGACCCCTGCAAGTTTGCCTTATGGTCTGGGCGGACTCCCTCCTCAGACAACAAAACGGTGCTGAAAGTGAGTCTTATTTTCTCTGCCCAGCACATTTTTTTTTTATCAAAAACCTGGGATCGCTAGATAGATCCCACTCAGCAGTCCAGTATAAAAACGATGGTGTTTGGATCTTGAGGAGGAATTCCATAGTTGAGTACTACATCAGTAGTGCTAAGTTCTTATGACTGGCTTCTTCATTTTCATCTGTTCAGTGGTGCTGTTTGTTACTGTTCTGAGGATTCCTGTCTGTTTAGCTTCAAATGGCTGTTTGTGGTCTTGCTTGTCTTCAGTCTTTCACCTGACTGCCTGCTCCACTTCTGCCCATGTTCCTGGTCTAGGGTTGCCAGCTCCAGGTTGGTAAATACCTGGAGATTTGGGTGATGGAACCTGAGGAGGGTGGAGTTGATGAGGGAAAGGACTTCAGTGGGGTATAATTCCATAGGCTCCACCCTCCAAAGTGGCCATTTTCTTCAGGTGAACTGATCTCTTTCACCAGGAGATCAGTTGTAACAGCAAGAGATCTCTGGCCACCACCTGGAAGTTGGCAACTCTATCCTGGTCACAGCCATGGCCGTTGATTCCACTCCAGCCTTGCCAGATCACTGTACCTAACCCAAATCTTCCTCTTAGGACCCCATTACCTCATTTTTACGCCAGAATTTCCAGTATAGAACATCCAGGGCCGGCCCGAGGTGTTCCTGCGCCCTAGGCGAGTGCAGATGCCAACCTCTTGGTAGCGCCTGGAGACCTCCCAGCTGGCGTGCGGCGCCTCGGGGCAGAACTCGGCTTTGCCACCCACTCCCTGGGTCTTGCCGGCGAAGCGCCCGCCACGCCTCCTCCTCCTCCACCAGGGAGCCCGAGCCAATGGGGCGCTCAGCACAGAGGGAGGGAGGGAAGGCGGCAGAGGGGATGCCAGTGGCCAGCCCCATCCCGGTCCCGTCTTCTTACCTGCGGCGCCCAGCAGTAGCACCACCACCATCGGGGCGAGCAGCAGTGGCAAGAGACGGCCGCCCATCCTGCGTGCCCCGCCACCGCTGCTCCAGCCACCCAGTCCCATTGCTGCCGCCGTGCACAGCCAGGAGCACCCACCCGCCCCCCTCCTCCCAGCCGGCGCAATCTGGGGAAAGGCTGCTGCTGTTGCTGCTGCCGCTTGGGCGGCCTCTCCGAGGCTAGGCGAGAGGTCGGCTCTGAGGCCCCCCCTGGGGTGCTGACTGTAGTGCAGGATGGGAGGGAAGGGAAGCAAGAAGGCAGGCGGGTGGGTGCGGGAGGTGGAGCGGAGGCCTTGGAGGGTGGACCTTGGCGCTTCCTGGCAGTGCAACACCGCCGCTGGCTGGCTCAAGGGGGCATCGCAGTGCCTGGCTCCATGGAGAGGGCGCTCCTCCAGCTCCTAGTGCCGTGAGCGTGCCGGGCTCCTGCAGGCCACCCCTGCCTCTCCTCCTGCGCCCTAAGGGCCAGCCCGCGCTCTAGGTGAATGCCTAGTTCGCCTAGCGGGTGAGCCGGCCCTGAGAACATCCCAATAATGATGAATGTTGCTTTGTTTAACATAGGGTCTAGGAGGTTGATGAAACTAGGGGGAAACCCCTGTGACCCGCATGAATACAAGCACAGAATACTTTGCTAAAACAGGAGCACTGAAATGAACAATCAGATACAATTGTGTTACTAGCAATGCAAACCAAATCATTGTAAGGCAGTCTGGACCTCTAACATGGCCTGAAGAGGAGTCCATTTGTGGAAAGGTCCTTTATAATCATCTTGCTCTGTAATTACTACCCATTCTTGATGGATTTCTTAGCTGTAGTGATTTTCCTCCCACTTAAACAAGCTAGTCATTCCTGTTGATTGATTTTCCCCCCCCAACAAGGACCTTTTATGGTAGATGTTTTGCTTAAGAAAACCTAGCTGCAGAATGACATCCCATCCCCCCTGCATAGGCATACTGTATTTTGGGTATGGCATATATTTATTCTAGAAAGCTTTTGATAAAGTTCCTCATCAAAGGCTCCTAAGTAAGCTCAAAAATCATGGGATAAAAGGACAAGTCCTTTTATGGATCAAAAACTGGCTAATTAATAGAAAACAGAGAGTGAGTATAAATGGGCAATTTTCTCAGTGGAGGGTGGTAAGCAGTGGGGTACCGCAGGGATCAGTACTTGGTCCACTGCTAGCACTTGTCTGACTTGCTCTTGCTACTGCAGCTGCCTATCAGCATTTGGCACTTGAACTTCTGATGACTTATCCAGGCAGTTAGCTCTACAATGCAGACAAAGGAGCAACTGGAAAGCACTCAATCACAGCACTTCAAACCCTTGCAAAATGTCATAATTTTGTCTTCTTTCTCTGTTGACATTTTAGGCGTCCAGTATTGAAACAAAACAAGAATGGATAAAAAACATCCGGGAAGTGATACAGGAAAGGATGATACACTTGAAAGGAGCTTTGAAAGAGCCAATACAGCCCCCCAAGACTCCATCAAAGCAGAGAAACAACAGTAAGAGGTAATCTTGGTCACCCCTTGCAGTCTCTGTCCTGTTTAATGAGGATACACTTCTTAGCTACACAATGGGGTTTGTGTAGATCACCCCGCAGAGTACAAATTGCACAGATACCTTGGTAAATAAAACCAACAAGCCACACCGTAAAGTGGACAGTTCCTCGGTCCCACTGTGCAGTACCCACTTTTCAACCCAGAAGTAAAGGGGAATAAGAATGGGAGAGTTGGCGATGGCAGTGGGATTTGGGTGAATTTGACGCACCACCTTGCATCTCCCTCTCAAAGGATCTCTGTCAGCCTTTGTCAGCGTGACAAGATAGTTTTTCTTTCTTCCATAAAAATGAATGGCTCCTGTTGACTCCCATGAGAGGAAATAAAGAACATAAGAAGAGCCATGCTGGATCAGGCCAGAGGCTCACCTAGTTCAGTGTTCTGTGCATACAGTGATCAACCAGCTACCTCTAGGAAGCCCACAGGCAAAAAGACTGCAACAGCATCATCCTGCCTGTGCTCTCCAGTAACGGATTTAAAGAGGCATACTATTTCTGGTAGTGGAAGGAAGTAGATATCCATCATGTTTTGTCTTATTCTGTAGGTGGCTAAAATGTATACTTGAACTATTAGGCTAAGGAGTAGAAAAATCTGTGCTGTTGAAGCAAAGGTCAACAGCCAGAAAACCTTGGGTATGACCTAAAGTACATACCTTCTGGAAGCAAAATAATTAATTTTACCTTAATGGGGCAAACTATCCGTTGGTATAAATCTAGAAGAAAGTGACCTTTCCCTAGAAAAGTGTGTTCTAGGACACAGTGACAGGAACCAAACTGGATCCATGCCAGTGGAATGCAACTTCAGAACTCCTTGCAATGGTGAAAAATATTCCAAAATCTTTTGAGCTACAGGAAATATACAAGAAGGAAGAATTGACATAGTTGTACTGTTTTTCTTAGAGATTTCATGCCCTCTTAATTTCAGCCACTGAAAATGTGGGCACCCAGAAACAACCCTTAGCAATTGACATAAGCTTTGCAAAACAGAAAGCCTATAATTTGGATGGCTGGGTTTGCTTAAGTGAGAAATCCAAGCTGAACAGGCCATTGGCCAGCCAGAGCCACCCTCATTATGGAGCTATTTTGAGACTTGTTGCTGTCACCATAGAAGTCCTGGAGAGTCAATTTCTAAGAGCAAATGTGCTTATTATGTGTTAACCTCACGGTGGAGGTGACATCATTCTAAATTGCACATTGAGTTGTAACACAAGCATGATCGGCTAAGCAACCGACTCTCAAGCACTAGCTGAGTAGTTCTCAAATCCATTGAGGAAATTTCACTGTCCGTTTCCTACAGAGAGGGAGGAGAAGATGCCGACAGTCAAGGAGACGGGAGCAGCCAGCCGGACACAATTTCAATTGCATCCCGGACCTCTCAAAATACAGTGGACAGTGACAAGGTAGGACCTGTTCCTGAAAAATGCAACTCTGCTGTGGCGCTCCTCCTGCTCTGTCTTGCTTGGCCACCTCTTTTCGGTCAGAACGCGAATAGCTTCAGAACTGGAAACAGAGGGGGTTGCTTCACCGTCTCTTCCCCTGGCAGCAGCTATCACAGCCTTAATATGAGCCAGAGTCTAGTCCCTGGCCGTCGTTGGGAGTCTCCCTTCCAACCTTTGTGGTCTCCACCCCTCCTCCACTGGCACTCAATCCTGTGCCACGCCCACATTCCATCCTAGTCAGTGTCTTGGCCAATCCCCAGCCTAAGAAGGCAGTGACATTCATTACCTCTTCCCCCTTGTCCACATCTGGCCATTGCCCCACCCTTCTCTGACTCCTGTCCCCTCCTTGCAAGCAGGCACAATAGCCAGCGGGGAGGGTTACTAGGTCATTGGGCCCTCACTACCTCACAGAGAGCCCCCTTAGCATTGCCTCCAGCAAGCTCAGTGTCCTGGCTGGACTGTCACCTGCTGGAGCCTGCCCTGGGACATCAACCCATCCCCTGCCAAACTGGGACCTGCCCCCATGAGTCCTGGCCTTGCTGCTGGCCTCGTTGGGTGTGGCTGCTCTGGGCTGCTTCTGCCCCTCTGGGGCACTGGGAAGGACATGCCCAGGCAAGGCTTTGGCAGTGCGAGCAGGGGAGGCAGCACAGAGTCCGGAGGAGCTATCTCTGAACATCGGCTAATTCGGGCTAGAGGAATGTAAAATATGGATGGAAAAACAACAAAAAGAAAATGAAGATTCCCCCCCCCCTTTTTTTTCCTTGTTAAACTACACTCTGTTTTGAAGTACTACTTGAGGAAACTAAACTGTAGGCTTCTCAGGGCTATTTTTGGGCAGGAACGCACAGGAACGGAGTTCCGGCTGGCTTACGAGTTGGCCACGCCTACAGCCAAAACCTCTGCGCATGCGTGGCTACAGAGGGAGGCCTG